CTCTCCAAGACACATCATAATCAAATGCCTAATACAGAAAATAAGGAAAGAATGCTAAAAAGTTGCAAAAGAAAGATTATCAGGTCACATTTAGAGGCAAGCCAATAAGGTTCACTTCTCATTTCTCAACTTACACCCTAAACCAAGGAGGTCCTGAAATGAAATATTCCAAACTCTAAAAGAAAGCAATTGACAGGCAAGATTGCTATATTCAGCAAAACTCTCTTTCAATGACAAAAATAAATTAAATAATTTATAACCATCATACCAGCACTACAAAGAATACTCAGATATATAGCAACAGAGGCACCAAAAAAAAAAAAAAAGCCTAAAGCTCCCAAACAGATGAATATCACTAGAAGAGCATTCAACTAAATGAAAATTAAGGCAGAGTTAAATATAGCAAACAAACCAAAATGCCAGGAAACTACAAACATATATCCATAATAACACTGAGTGTAAATGGTCTCAACTCCCCAATTAAAAGATGCAGGTTAGCAGAATGCATCATAAAACAAGATCCAACTCATGCTATTTGCAAGAGACTCATCTCATGGGCAAAGACACCTATAGGCTGAAGGTAAAAGGAAGATAAAAAATTTCAGAGTCTGAAAACAAGCAGGAGTAGTTATTGTCATATTAATATCTGACAAAGTAGATTTCAAGCAGAAATTAATCAGAAGAGACAAGGCAGGCCACTACATACTGGTAAAGGAAACAATCCAACAAGAATAAATATATATGCCCCAAATGTCAGTGCACCTAGTTACATAAACAAAACAAAACTTCCTGACATTAAATCCCAGAGAGACCCCAAAACATAATAATAGTGATTGATTTTAATAAACCCTTATCACTGATAGATCATCAAAGAATAAAATCAATTAAGATATTTCAAACGTAAATCAAATGGACCTAATCGACATCAATATTTCACTCGAAAACATCTGAGTTGTTTTTCAATAACCTTGTCCAAAATAGGCCACATTCTAGGTCACAATGTAAGTGTTAGCCAAATACAAAAAAAAAAAATCAATATAATCCCATGTCTCTTAATGGGATTGAAATTAAAAATCAGCAACAAGAAAAATAATAGAAATCACATAAACACATGGAGATCAAATAATACTCTTTAAATGAAGAATGGATCATGGAAAAAATGAGCAAAGAAATCAAGAAATTCTTAGAAACAAATGATAACAGAGATACAACATATTAAAATCTCTGGAACAATATGAAAGTTGTTCTAAGAAGAAAATTTATAGCATTAAGTGCCTACATTAAAAAATAAGACGATGCCAAGTAAATAAGCTTATGCTCCACCTTAAGGTTTTAGGAAAGGAAGAATAAACTAATTGCAAAATCAGTAGAAGACAGTAAATAATAAGAATCAAAACAGAAATTAAAGAAATTGAGAATAAAAAACAATATACAGGATCAGTGTAACACAGAGTTGGTTCTTCAAAAAGATAAATAATATTGACAAACCCTTAGCCAACTAGCCAAAAGAAACAGAGGAAAGACACAAATAAAATCAAAATTAGAGATGGAAAAGGAGATATCACCACAAGCTTCTGAAACCCAGAGGATCATTAGAAACTATTTTGAAAATTAATAAACTGGAAAATCTAGAAGACACTGAGAAATTTCTAGACACATATGACTTTCCCAAATTGAACCAGGAAGATACAGAAAACCTAAACCGACCAACACCAAGTAATGGAATTGAAATAGTCATCAAAAGCCTTCCAACAAAGACAATCACAAGACCAGATGGATTCTCAGCAGAATTCTTCCAAACCTATAAGGAAGAACTAACACCAACATTTCTCAAATTATCGCATGAAATTTAAAGGGAGGGAACACTCCCCAAATCTTCCTATGAAGCTAGTATAACTCTGATACCAAAACCAGATAAAGATACATCAGAGAAAAAAAAAAAAAAAAAACTTGGCTCCAGAGGCTGAGGCAGGAGATCCCCAGTTCAAAGCCAGCCTTAGCAAGGTAGTAAGCCCTAAGCAACTCAGTGAGACCCTGTCTCTAATAAAATACAAAAAGGGGCTGGGGATGTGTTGCTCAGTGGTTAAGTTCCCCTGGGTTCAATTCCCCATAGCAAAAGAAAAAAAAAGAAAAAAAAGAAAAGAAAAGAAAAGAAAGAAAAGAAAAGGTACACATCAGAATTTTGAGTAGACCTTTTAAATTTTATCTCAAACATTTTGTAAAAATTTTTTGGTCCTTCACTGAGTCCAAACAACTGCACAAGAATACTGTTAGGTGGCTCTGTGGCCTGGATTGAGTGTTCCCACAGGGCATTCTCCCCCACTGGAGGTAGGCTGGGGAAGCCACTGGTTCTCCAGGTACAGTTCTGAGGAGGTACGGGTAGGAGGAGTCTGGGAACAACCTTTCATCCAGACTCTTAGCCTTTTTTTTTTTTTTCCAATCCTTGCAATTCTAGCTGCTCTTTACTTTTTTTTTCTTTTCTTTTTTTTTGCATGTAATAGAATTTTATTTATTGTATAGAATTTTTATTATTTTCTTAGGGAAAGGGATGGGGGTGGGTAAAAGTGAACAAAGATAGTCGAAATGTACAAAGGCTTGGTTAGGGAAGAGGAATAAGTCTGATTTTTTTTAGATCAATTGTATAGAATTGTTTCTGTAGCTAATAATTGAGTATTCTATATTTAAATTTGTTGAGAATAAATTTCAAATGTTCTGATCACAAAAATTATTGAAAATTTGAAGCTCTGGGATCAGAAATGTAAAGCACATTGAAGTTATAGTCCTGGATCTTTCGCTTTATCTGTATTCGTCAATGAATATGGAGTTGAAGTCATCAACTCAGAAGTAAGGTTGTTGATTTTTTAATATATTTATTTATCTTTTTTTTTTTAGTTGCACTTAGACCCAATACCTTTATTTCATTCATTTATTTTTATGTGGTGCTGATGATCAAACCCACAGCCCCGAGCATGCTAGGCAAGTATTCTTCTACTGCTGAGCCACAATCCCAGCCCCCCCCAGTTGTTGATTTTTTTAACCACAGGTTGTCTGAGCTGTGTGGCCTTGGGGGAACTGCCACACCTCTTTACCTGTTGTCTGTGGAGGTGGACCATGACCTTCTGCTTCTGCATGGGGCTGAACTGATTGTTGTTTCTCTGTGCCACCCACCTTCCTGCCTCTCCTCTTCTTCCTTGGCTGCCTCCTCTCCTCTGCTCAGCTCCCTAATGTTGAGTTGAGGGTCCTGGGGCTCCACCCTCACCCTCTGTTCACATTCTCTGACCAAGTGAGTTAATCGGTCTCACTTTAAATATCCCACTAGCATTGGTGCCACTTCATCTTTATCTGCTGCTCTGGCCTCTTCCCTGGATTCCAGAGTCATAAACCTATCAGTGGACTTAGCCTCCCCATCAAATCTAGAATGCAATTCTCAGCTTTCCTGTGTCTGAGCCTAAATTCTTGACTTCTGCCCTCATCTGACCCACTAGACCCTCTTCCTGGTACTCCCCGGGTTAGGCCTTCCTCTCTCATGCTCAAAGTCAATTCTTTCACACCTCCAGGGCCTGGTCACAGGCACTCCTGTCCCCTGCCACACTGTGAGGCCCTCCTGAGGGTCCTCTATCTTTAGATTCTACTTCTCAACAGTCTATCTTCCACTCAGGAGCCAGAAGATGCTGTGATCATGTGAATCAGGACCCTGCCCTGTGGTGTCAGCTACCTGAACCCTCCTAAGAAGAAAAGGGCAGTAAGGGGTCATGTGAGACCATGTGCCTCAAAGGCCCAGTTTGTACACTTTTTTTGCAACTTCAAGCTCTGACCTAGCATCACCTTAATGTCCCATCCTTCCCAACTTGAAAAAGCAAGGGTAGAAGCTGAGGTGGACCCCAGCCTCCTGACTCCCAGCTTCCACCAGAAAGATGACTGGATAGTTCTGGGGACAGAGAATACCAGGGCCTGTGGGTGTGATAGGGGAAGAAAGCAGGGGGATGTTTCCTGCTTGCTTCCTCTGCCAGCCATGCCCAAATCCTCATGGCCACTCTAATCCACCCTGTTTAATGAAACCCAAGCCGGCTCAGGTCCCCATCCACAAGCTTGCTAATCTCTGCAGCTGGATAGGCTCACCACCTGTCTCCAAGACACTATTTGCTCTTTCAGCATCAGAGAGCCAAATCCCATCCTCAAACGGGAATGATGGTAAAGTATATTTTGGCCAAGCTCCCTCATCTTGGCCCTCTGAGATGGGGAAAGTCAAGTACAGACAACCTTACACAGTGTGAGTCAGCTCCAGGGTCAGTGCTTCAGACCCCAGAGCCCAGGAAACCTTTGCAAGTGACCACAGGAACTCCACAGTGGTCCATCCTTGGGTATAAGAGACCCTATGGGAGCTGTAGGGTATAAACACAGTCTTGACCCTTTCGTGCTTAAAAGGCAGTGTGGGCTGGTAGTTTTGCATCATTCTGGATGCAAATCCGGATGCTGACATACTCCCTTTGAGCACTCTACTTCCTCATCTGCAAAATGGGGCTGATGCGAAATGTCTCTTCATACATACAACAACAAGCAGGGCTGTTGTATGTTTGCTAATGTTCAGGATCTGCTGGGGCTTGATTCCTTCCTGCCTACCAGAGCTTTCTTCTCCTTTATTCCAGTCCATCTGCTGGCTCACTCAACCTCTGACCCTGTCACCCTCACTCATGGGCTTTGCAGCAGGGTCTTGCCAGGAGAAAGCCAGGAGGAAACCCTTAGCTGCGGAAATTTAAAAAGAATGATGGCCAGGAATGAGCGAGAGACAGAAAGGGGGCAAGAAAAATCGACAGAGAGAGAGAGAGAGAGAGACGCAGTGAGGCAGAAAGAAGAGAGATTTTGGAGAAAGACCGCAAGCCAGAGTCAGGAACAAAGAGATACTGAGACAGGGAGGAGAGAAGAGGAGAGGAGGAGAGGGAAGGGGAAAAGAGGGGAGGGGAAGGGAGGGGAAAGGGAGAATGTGTGCCAGAGACAGAGTCTGGAGTCCATGCAACTCCAAGACAAGCAAACAGAAACAAATCCGGGGAGTCAGCGAGGGAGGGAGAAATGTGGAAAGAGCGGGTTCCACCATCCCCCATGCTCAGGAGGGGTCTCTGCCCTCGCCCTCAGGGTGGTTTCCCATCCTTCCCCGGAATCCTTAAATCCTCTCTCGCTGAGGGCTCTGGGCATCTGTCACAGACTTGTCCTGAAACGACAGCTGCTAGTGCAGGTGAGAGTGGCCACAGAGGGGTCCTGGGTGTAATACTGGGGAGGAATCCCGAACAAGAGGGGATGTCCGGCAGGGGCAGAATTGGAGGGGTGACGACAGTGTTTGGGCAAGAGAGTTCATAACCTGGGTGGAGGCAAGGAGGAGAACTGGGAAGACTGGCTGAGTTGATTGCCCAACTGGCTCAGACAAGATCCCTTGTGCGCCTTTCCTCTGTGTAGGGCGGGGGCTCCCTCCCTTTTCCCGGACCCTGGGTGTGTTCTTCTTCCAGGTCTCTAAGCTTTCTTCTGTGCCAACGTGTACTCTCTTCAATCTTTTCTTCTACAGTCCCTGAGCCAATGGCGCGGCCCTGGAGCGCTGGGGAGTCACTGCTGCTGGCGCTGCTGCCGCCGCTGGCGTGGCTGGCGCAGGCGGGCCTGGCGCGCGCCGCGGGCTCGGTGCGCCTGGCAGGCGGGCTCACTCTAGGTGGCCTGTTTCCTGTGCACGCGAGGGGCGCAGCCGGCAGGGCTTGCGGTCAGCTGAAGAAGGAGCAGGGCGTACATCGGCTCGAAGCCATGCTGTATGCGCTGGACCGCGTGAACGCTGACCCGGAGCTGCTGCCCGGTGTGCGCCTGGGCGCGCGGTTGCTGGATACCTGCTCTCGGGACACGTACGCGCTGGAGCAGGCGCTGAGCTTCGTACAGGCGCTGATCCAAGGCCGTGGCGACGGCGAGGAGGCGAGAGTGCGCTGCCCTGGGGGCGTCCCTCCGCTGCGAGCTGCGCCCCCGGAGCGAGTGGTGGCGGTCGTGGGCGCTTCGGCAAGCTCGGTCTCTATCATGGTTGCTAATGTCCTGCGCCTGTTTGCGGTGAGGGCTACGGGACCAGTTCTGTTCCCAGCCTCTGTCTCTCATTCTCACCTTTGGGGTGGCTGATGCCTTTCTTTCCTTACTTCTTTCTGAAGGATTCTCTGCTTTAATCATTCTAGTTCACACAGATTCAAAAGCTGTTTCAAAGAAACACTGGCTTTTGGGACAGCCTCAGGCCAGCATCAGATCACATATCCCCTCCAGCTCCTTTGTGTGAATTAAGGACTAACAAGTATGCCCCTTCCTCCAGAGGATGCAGCCTGCTGCCTTGGGTCAAATTGGCTAGATGAGGGCAGCTGGACTTCAGTCCCCACTTGCTTCACAGTCCATATTTTGTGCACACCCTGCACATCTGTGGAAGGTATTCCTGCCTTCTGGGCCTATTGGAGCGCTCTGGTAATGGGGAGCTTTGTGTTTGCCCTTCTTGCAGAGGAGCAACTGGGACATAGCCCTTAGCTATCCAGAGGGATGGATAGGCCTGAAAGGTCTAGCACCTTTCTCCTCTTGTTTGATCATTATTTAAATTTGATTTGAAAAGTCTGCCTTTAATCCTCTTTCAAGGAGCCTGTGACTGTTCATCTGCAGTGCCCTGCCATGCTAGGCCATGTGGGCCTGGACTGGCCCTGCATTGTCATTTTTGGGGAACTGTCCTCTGCAAGGGGCAGTATGTTCCCTGTAGTTCTGGGGGACAGAGATTGGGGCCATAGAAATCAGGGATCTGGGGGCCTTTGGCATCAGAATTTGGGGGCTTTCTTTAGTAGTCATTCTCTGGGGATTATGGGATGGTTTTACTAGGGATCTGTGCAGGGAGGAGGGCTTTGTCCTTCCATGTTTCTGTGAGGGGAGGAAGGAAGGTTTGCTTCTACCTGCCTAGAGGAGGAGACTTATGTATCTTGAGTTTTTGGTTCTGTCCAAGGGAGTGTCTGTTTCTACCATGCTGGGACTCTTGTCATTTGCTTACATTAAATCTCCCCCCACCCACTTTGGATGGCAGTTTTGATGTAGAGTGTACGGACACACCTTCTCTTCCACATGGAGAAGTGGTCTGGCTACCCAGGATTTTTTTTTCCCCCGCTGTGTCCCTGAGGACCTTTGTGGCTATCCCCAACCCTGCCTGGTGCTCTGGTTTCTTTTCTTTTCCCTTTCCTTTTTTTTCTTCCTTCCCCTCTTTCTTTCTTTTTGTGGCATTGGGGATGGAACTCAAGTCCTCATGTATACAAGGCAAACGCTCTACCACTGAGCTACATCCCCAGCCCTTTTATTTTATTGTGAGATGAGGTCTCCCAGCGTTGCCCAGCTGGCCTCCAACTTTTGAGCCTTCTGCTTCAGCCTCCTGAGTACCTGGGATTATAGATGTGGGCCACTGTACCTGCTGGTGCTCTAGTCCCCCATCCCCTTCCCCTCTATGTCAAGTGAAGAGATCTCAAACTCAAGGACCTTCAGGGGCTATGTGGGGGCTGTAGTTGAGAGAAGCAGGACCGGCTGTGCCTAGGGCTCTCTGCTGCCAGCTCAGCCCAAGACTGAGGTTGGGCAGCAACTTCCTATTTTCAGACACCCTCTCTGCTTGCTTGAAGTTCACAAATAAATAAATAAATAAATAAAATTAAAAATAAAATTTAAAAAATTGTAACCGTGGACCAGATACTGTTTTGCAATTCTGGTCTAAAAGACATGATGAGGTATTTTGAGCTTATTCCAAAGCCACATACCATGGTCTCAGGCATTTGAAATTAACTTCCAGAAGAGGGTTCAATCTGCATGGGAACATTGTCCTGAAGGTAGTATTGAGGAGTTCCCAGGGGGCCTCTCTCTGCCCCATTTCTCTGATTCCTCTGTCTTTCTTCTTATTTTTCTATCTCCTTGTCCCTCCCAAATCTGTTCTCACTCCCTTTGTCTCTCTCCTTCCCTTCCTTCCTGCCCCGCCTTCCCTCTTTCCCTGTCTGTTCTCATCCTCACTCTCCATTTCCCCTTCCTGTACTGTCTTCCCACCCCACACCTTCTGTCCTACTTTCAACAGCCCTTCCATCCAGAACCTCCTCCTTCCTGACCTTCACACAACTCTGTCTTGTTCCCGCCCTTCCCAGGTGTGTCTTTTTTCTTGTTCCCTCACTCTCCTGAGTGCATTTTTTTTAATGTGGTCTGGCTCCTCAATTTCAGTCAGCCACTCTCTCCTCCTTATTTCCTGTCTGCCTCCTGGCTCCCGGCTCCTTTCATACTTGCTCCCCAGGTCCCATACTCTTGCCCCTCCTGAATGGGCTCAGCTGGCCCTATAATCCCTGCTATTAATCGCTCTAATGCACTCAGATAAAGCCCAGTTTCAAATGAGCTCTCTGTTAGGCTGGACACAGTTGAATCAAACAGCCCCCTCCAGCCCCTGTCTGTTTTGACCCTCCTGTGACTGTCACCTGCACAGACCACTCCTTTGTGGGAATTTTAAAAAATGCTTTCCTCTGTGGCCGACAAGGATGCCCCTTTCCCCAGGCAGGTGCAGCTGTGGGCAGCACCTGGATTGGTTGCAGGTTGGATTTCAGCCTCCAATTCACCTGGCTCCCATATCCATGTTGAGGGCAGAGCCTGCACAACTGTCTGTGGGGTCCTGCTCAAATCTCTGAGCCCTCTTACCTTTCATATTGCATCAGGTCTAGTCACAAAATTTAGCCCTTGCCCCATACCTTCTGGCCTCTCTTGGTGGACCTCAGCTCCTTACCCCAAACTTTAACTATGCCACCAGTGTCCCCACTGGCCTCCAGAGCCCTTCCCAAACTGTGTCCCATGCATGTCCTGAGTCCCCGTTACCCTCCCTCCCTAGGGTTACTGACCTTCATCCACAGCGCAGCTGTCCTTCCTGCCTCCAGATACCCCAGATAAGCTATGCCTCCACGGCGCCAGAGCTCAGCGACTCCACACGCTTCGACTTCTTCTCCCGAGTGGTGCCACCTGACTCCTACCAGGCCCAGGCTATGGTGGACATTGTGCGGGCACTGGGATGGAACTATGTGTCTACTTTGGCCTCTGAAGGCAACTATGGCGAGAGCGGTGTTGAGGCCTTTGTGCAGATTTCCAGGGAGGCTGGTGAGCTGGGGGCAAGGAGGTCTCAGGCATCAGGATGTCTATAGAGGGCTGAGCCAAGGGCCATCAGATGGGGCACAGGGTCTCTGGTGGGGACTTGGCTGTGGTTACCCTGGAGGGCACTCCAGGTGGGTAGGTGTCCTTGTCCTTTGTAGGACTCAGCACCTGCCTTGTGATCTGCCACGTAGGGCCCAGACAAGATTTCACCCCTCCAGACCCCTCAGCCAGGCCCCTGGGTGCTGTGTATGCCACATACACAGTCATATGCAGAGGTAGCCAGGTGGGTGTGTGGGTGGGTGGGGTAAGAGCTGACTTTGGCATCCCCGACACCCAGGGGGGGTCTGTATTGCCCAGTCCATCAAGATTCCCAGGGAACCAAAGCCAGGAGAATTCAACAAGGTGATCAGGAGACTCATGGAGACACCCAACGCACGAGGGATCATCATCTTTGCCAATGAGGATGACATCAGGTGGGATTGGTGGCACATGCATCACTGTTTTTCAGGACCCCTCCTGAGGGTCCTGCCCCTTGTTCTTATTCATCCCCTGCCACTCAGGCCCTCCCTCCCTTCCCTTTCATTTTATATCCAACCCTCTCCATGCTTTTTCTGCTATCATCTCTGAGTCTGGTGTCCCCAGAGATGAATGAGGCTTGGTCTGGGTGGAGATGTGCAAAGCTTCACCTTCTGGGAAACTAGACAAATGTGTCTGTTTTTACCATTCACCATGGGAGAGAGAACCTGCAGACAGACCTAAATACAGAAAATGAGCTATCAGGGACAGAGCCCTGGGGGCAAGAAATCACAGACCAGACCCTGAAACCTGCATAGTCCAGTGCCAGCAGGGGAGTCTTCCTTCAGCCTAGGAGGCTGGAGGTGATATTGGTGGAAGCATTAGTGGAGGGGATTAGCTTCTGTCTGGCCTTGATTTTCTCCTGGAAAATTTATAAAGAAAAGAGGTCCAGTTAGCACAGTTTTGGAGGCTTAAAGTACAAACAGCATGGTACCAGCTCTGGTGAGGGTCCCCTGTGCTGCATCACATTTTGGCAAAGAGAGAGAGAGAGAGAGAGACAGAGACAGAGACAGACACGGGTTACATGATGAGATAGGAAGCCAAATAGAGGGGAGGAGCCAGGATCACTCTTTTCTAATAACCACTCTCAAAAATTAACCAGTGTCCCAAGAGAACTACTCAATTCCTCCTGAGGGTGAAGCCCCCAATAATCCAGTGATTTTTGAACTAGGCCCCCTCTAAAAGTTCCCACCATATCCCAACTTTGCCACACTGGGGACCAAGCTTCTAACACATGAAGTCTCTGGGGATGCATTCAAACCATACCCAAACCATAGCACCCTCTGGGGCCAGTGTGAAGTGGATTATAAGGCGCAGAGCCAGTGGGCAGTGTGGGAAGCCCAGGGAAAGTATCCTGAGTACCCTGCACCCTATTTTCACTGATTAAACAAGGGCCCAGTGAGTGGCGTGGAGCAGGACAGAGAGAAGGGAACGTGACAAGGGTTAAGATGGACAGGGATGCTGGGCCCTCGCTCACCCCCAGCTCTGTTTCTACCAGGAGGGTCCTGGAGGCAGCACGCCAGGCCAACCTGACTGGGCACTTCTTGTGGGTTGGCTCAGACAGCTGGGGATCCAAGATCGCACCCATTCTGAACCTAGAGGATGTGGCTGTGGGGGCTATCACTATCCTGCCCAAAAGGGCCTCCATTGACGGTGAGTCCAGGGATGCTGTGTCCTCTCCATCATCCCTTCTCGGTGACACTCATTACTCAAATCTGGATAGTAGGTTCCATAATCAGATCCCGTTAGGATTCCCAGATCCCGTGATTCTGAGATTCTGTGACTATATCCTTCTAAGCAATGTTTGAATGAGATGGTGTAGGAGGAAAGGAACATACCACTCTTTGTACAGAGTGAAAATTGTGCTTTTTTTTTTTAATTTGGTGTATGTACTTTTGGTTTTACCAGATATTCTAAATTGAGGGGTGGTGAGGATTCGGAATGTACTGTCCTGTTGATCACAGTGATGAGGCCTGCCGCCACACCCCCTCACATCCCATCTGTGAATATTTGGATGAATCCAGCAGGGATGGTTCACTTTACAACAAGATTGCTTATTTCCCCCAAAGTATGAATTGAAGATGTCTCAATGATGTGCTTTAAGGCTATATTATGAAAACCCAGCCTCTGATGAAGGATGAGCCCTGCTTTCCAGAGGCTACTAAATTTTTGAAAGTGTACATCTTCACACCCTTTCTTTTACCTAGCATGCAGTTAGTTGCAAGTGACAAATTGGACTGAGAGCGGTTTTAGCAAGAAAGGCATTTCATCACAAGAAATCTGAAAATAGTGATTTCAGATGTAACGCATGAGTCAATAGTGTTCTCAAAACCCTGGGCTCTGTTTACCTTTCCATTACACCCTCCTCTGTGGTTACTTTATGTCTTTGTGCTTTTGAATTCATATTCACAATATAGATGCTGAAGCTCCACCCATTACATATTCACAGCATCATTCTAACCTAGAAAGAAGGGGCAGGGATAAAATCTTTCAAGAGGTGAGGCTCTGAGTTTGTATCAGTATGCAAATTCTACTCTGGAAGCTCCAGGAGTTTTGAATTCACAGTCTAGAACTTGGTCACATGGTCACTCCTGGATGCAAAGTGAGCAAGTGGTAAAGGGACACAGGAGAACCATGACTGGTTCAGTGGTCACCGCTCTCCTTTCTCTTTTCCTCACTCTTAGGATTTGACCAATACTTTATGACTCGCTCCCTGGAGAACAACCGCAGGAATATCTGGTTTGCTGAGTTCTGGGAAGAAAATTTTAACTGCAAACTGACCAGTTCAGGTAGCCAGTCAGATGATACCACCCGCAAATGCACAGGTGAGAGCTGCCCAGGCAGGACTGGGAGGGTGATGAGGAAGAAGGTGGGAGGCCAGGGTTGGTGCATGGGGGCCAGGCACACTTCCTCTGGGCATCCCTAGGACAGGTGAAGAACGCATCGGCCAGGACTCTGCCTACGAGCAGGAGGGGAAGGTGCAGTTTGTGATTGATGCCGTGTACGCCATTGCCCACGCCCTCCACAGCATGCACCAGGCGCTGTGCCCTGGGCATATAGGCCTGTGCCCAGCAATGGAACCCACTGATGGCCGGACACTGCTACAGTATATTCGAGCTGTCCGCTTTAATGGTGAGTGGGAGCCCAAGCCCCTCAATAGTGAAGGAAGCCAGCTGAGATGAAGTTCTCTTCAGGGTTGGGGACAACTCAGGATGGAGGGGATGGAAGAGGCAGAATGGTAGAGTGGAGGACTGAGGAGACTAGAGACTTGAACCAAGTTCTGGTCCCCATTTGTTAACCATTCTCCTTCCCCAGGCTTCATTCAGCACCCTCTGCCCCAATTTGCAAAATTCAGATGTTGGAGAATTTATCATGTGTTCTGCTGGGAACTCTCAGTTGGGTCGTGCACAACTCTCCCCTCCATTACACAGAGCTTGGAGGCTTTCTGTGTCCTGGGCCTTATGCTGCCTCAGCTAGGCTCTGAGCTGCTTGAGCATAAGGAATGAGTCTGACATGTCCCCTGGAACCAGCAGAAGGCTTGGCACATGTTCAGGGCTCCAAATAATGACTGTGAATAGACCCCAATGGACTCAAGCTGTGGGTGGTCTACAGGTAGAAAGACACTTCTGTTCAATTACTGTCCTTCATAAAATCAAAAACTCTGTTCCTCCACCAAATATTTACTGACCATCTTGCCATGCCCCTTGCTAAGGAATTCAACTTCATTTTCCTCCAGACCAGCTCTACAAGCTGGTAGAACAAGCTTCTGAAAGAAGTAAAGCTGATTGTTCACATTGGGACCAATTTCATGGTGTTACTCAGACTTTGTACAAGTCATCCATCAGTCCAGATAGCCA